GTGTAGGGGTAGGTGTAGGGTAGTGTGTAGGGGTAGGGTGTTGTTGTAGGGGTAGTGTGTAGGGGTAGTGTGTAGGGGTAGGTGTAGTTAGGGTGTTGTAGGGCGTGGTTTGGGATTGGGCCTCTCTCTCCTGTTGAACTGTTCCTTTAAAGGCCGCTACACACCCACCTGAGACCAAAGAACGCGTACCGAAGGCGTCCCGACTTTTACGTCGGCTACGATTCATGTTGAATCGTAGCCGACGGGCGGTGTGAAAAGGTGCCGTAAAGAGACGACGGTGCGGGACACACCAACCTGAGTAGGGCGCCGCGAATGCCCGACTGCCTGGTTGGTGTGCAGCCAGCTTTAGACTCTCTCTGGGGGAACACTCGTTTGGCGCCATCTGTTGTTGTGACTGTGTAATTACATCGAAAAGTCTAGACCCCGAATAGAAGACTCTTTTTCAGATTATATTCTAGGAAAAGAAACCCTGTCTTATATTCAGGTCAATACGGTATTTTGGACAGATTCAAAGATTAGTCATGAAAATTATAGTTTTTCGGGGCGGTTGTGGGACGTAAAATAATAAAAGAGACCTGCCTTCCCTGTAAATAAAGTAAATAAACTAGTCTATAGTACAAGTACATATAATATTGACAAAGTACACTTATAGGATGCTTTGTGTACCTGGCGCCCTGGCCGTCCTTCATCCTGTACAGGAGCCCCGAGCTGTTCCTCAGCAGGTCCAGCTGACCCTGTGGAGACAAAACAACCCATCAGAACTACAAACATGGCTGCTCCGAGCGGCCAATCAGACGCCAGGACAGAGAGAGGGGACTGACCAATGAGAGCAGCTTGTTGATGGCCAGCGCTCTCTGCTGCGGATCCAGGTGAGGCATGTCGTTCTGAATCACTGCGTCTGTGATGCCGTGAGGAAACTGCTGACACAGCGCTTTGATCCTACACACACACACACACACACACACACACACACACACACACACACACACACACACACACACACACACACACACACACACACACACACACACACACACACACACACACACACACACACACACACACACACACCACACACACACACACACACACTCTTTAAAGTAGAGACACTACATACTGATACACCTGAACTCAGCAGAGAGGACTCTTTATAGAATACACTACATACTGATATACACCTTAACATCAGCAGGAGAGGACTCTTTAAAGTAGAGACACTACATACTGATATACACCTGAACATCAGCAGAGAGGACTCTTTAAAGTAGAGACACTACACACTGATATACACCTGAACATCACAGGAGAGGACTCTTTAAAGTATAGACACTACTACTGATATACACCTGAACATCAGCAGGAGAGGACTCTTTAAAGTAGAGACACTACATACTGATATACACCTGAACACAGCAGGAGAGGACTCTTTAAAGTAGAGACACTACACACTGATATACACCTGAACATCAGCAGGAGAGGACTCTTTAAAGTAGAGACACTACATACTGATATACACCTGAACATCAGCAGGAGAGGCTCTTTAAAGTAGAGACACTACATACTGATATACACCTGAACATCAGCAGGAGAGGACTCTTTAAAGTAGAGACACTACATACTGATATACACCTGAACATCAGCAGGAGAGGACTCTTTAAAGTAGAGACACTACACACTGATATACACCTGAACATCAGCAGGAGAGGACTCTTTAAAGTAGAGACACTACATACTGATATACACCTGAACATCAGCAGGAGAGGACTCTTTAAAGTAGAGACACTACATACTGATATACACCTGAACATCAGCAGGAGAGGACTCTTTAAAGTAGAGACACTACATACTGATATACACCTGAACATCAGCAGGAGAGGACTCTTTAAGTAGACACTACTACTGATATACACCTGAACATCAGCAGAGAGGACTCTTTAAAGTAGAGGCACTACATACTGATATACACCTGAACATCAGCAGGAGAGGACTCTTAAAGTAGAGACACTACATACTGATATACACCTGAACATCAGCAGGAGAGGACTCTTTAAAGTAGAGACACTACATACTGATATACACCTGAACATCAAGCAGGAGAGGACTCTTTAAAGTAGAGACACTACATACTGATATACACCTGAACATCAGCAGGAGAGGACTCTTTAAAGTAGAGACACTACATACTGATATACACCTGAACATCAGCAGGAGAGGACTCTTTAAAGTAGAGACACTACATACTGATATACACCTGAACATCAGCAGGAGAGGACTCTTTAAAGTAGAGACACTACATACTGATATACACCTGAACATCAGCAGGAGAGGACTCTTTAAAGTAGAGACACTACATACTGATATACACCTGAAACATCAGCAGGAGAGGACTCTTTAAAGTAGAGACACTACATACTGATATACACCTGAACATCAGCAGGAGAGGACTCTTTAAAGTAGAGACACTACATACTGATATACACCTGAACATCAGCAGGGAGAGGACTCTTTAAAGTAGAGACACTACATACTGATATACACCTGAACATCAGCAGGAGAGGACTCTTTAAAGTAGAGACACTACATACTGATATACACCTGAACATCAGCAGGAGAGGACTCTTTAAAGTAGAGACACTACACACTGATATACACCTGAACATCAGCAGGAGAGGACTCTTTAAAGTAGAGACACTACATACTGATATTACACCTGAACATCAGCAGGAGAGGACTCTTTAAAGTAGAGACACTACATACTGATATACACCTGAACATCAGCAGGAGAGGACTCTTTAAAGTAGAGACACTACATACTGATATACACCTGAACATCAGCAGGAGAGGACTCTTTAAAGTAGAGACACTACATACTGATATACACCCTGAACATCAGCAGGAGAGGACTCTTTAAAGTAGAGACACTACACACTGATATACACCTGAACATCAGCAGGAGAGGAATCTTAAAGAGACACTACATACTGATTATACACGGAAATCAGCATGAGAGGCACTCTTTAAAGTAGAGACACTACATACTGATATACACCTGAACATCAGCAGGAGAGGACTCTTTAAAGTAGAGACACTACATACTGATATACACCTGACATCAGCAGGAGAGGACTCTTTAAAGTAGAGACACTACACACTGATATACCCTGAACATCAGCAGGAGAGGACTCTTTAAAGTAGAGACACTACACACTGATATACACCTGAATATCAGCAGGAGAGGACTCTTTAAATTAGAGACACTACATACTGATATACACCTGAACATCAGCAGGAGAGGACTCTTTAAAGTAGAGACACTACATACTGATATACACCCTGAACATCAGCAGGAGAGGACTCTTTAAAAGTAGAGACACTACATACTGATATACACCCTGAACATCAGCAGGAGAGGACTCTTTAAAGTAGAGACACTACTGATATACACCTGAACATCAACAAGATATTCAAATAAATAAGGGAATAGTTTCTAATGATGGGATGTTCATGTGTGTCACATTGTGTTAATGCCTTGTCAACATGCTGCTGGGATGAATAGGGGATTTGCTGAGGATAGCCCTTCAGTAAAACGCAGTTAAAGAAGTGATGCAATGTTGAGTTTCTTGGTGTAAATAAGCAGCCAGGTGTACTGGAGGATAGCGGGATGAACAGTGAGCCCCCCCCCCGGCTGAGGACCTGTCAAAACAGCTGTATTTTATGGTCTGTGTGTCTGATAGTGATCGTTAAACTCTAAATGTGAGGGAAGGTAAAGGGGGTTCTGCGCATTGATCTCCGGGTGAAGCTCTCCCTCCGCGGACTGACCTGCTCTCCACCTCCGCCAGGTCCATGCCCTCCTTCTTCACCGTGACGTCACTCATCTTCTACCTGAGTATCTTCTTTATTCTCTATTCTGTGTGTTCCTGAGGAAGCTCTGGAGCTAGGTAGCCTGTTAGCATCAGGTTAGCATGGGAGCTAATGTTGACATGCTGAGTTCAGGGTCCTTAGGGGGGAGTTAGCGGGGCCGCCCTGAAATCTGCCTGTTCAAAAACATCTGAACAAAATAAAGAAATAAAGGCACTAGGTTATCTTTCGCCACTTTTTAATAAAATGTTCCATCTTTTTCACAAATACAGATGTGTGTTATCCATACAGTCTATGGTGTTATCATGTCGCCATTTTCACAAAAATATACTATGTTTTTATTTCTCAAAATAACAAACTAATCCTATTTTGCGGAGATTGATGTAAAATATTATTATATATTCAAACCATAGACTGTAAATGGTTTAAACAAGCAGAAAGAAGAATGATGGTACACAACATTAAACAAACAATACAAATGTGACGTTTTTAAAAATATGTATTTTATAGTCCAGTTCATCCCGGCGGGGCGGGCGGGGACTGTGTCTCTGTAGAATCCTCAGGGTTTTATTAGCCCCGCCCCTCCGCTCCGTGCCAGTAGACAACGCAAGCGTACAGCTCGTTGCTATGGCGACGCGTCCGAACAGTCAACAGCAGTTTAACGGAAGTGTGTTTTTTAATCGGAGCTGAAATCTGAAGTAAGTAGACTTAATTATCTTTAAGCTTTATTATAATGAACTTTACTTAATTATAATAATGATATATATATAAATACAAGAGGATAGAGTTTCTCTTCATTCCCGTAGGAACATCAGGGAAAGATGTTTCATATGGTTTTACTGTTGATGTCACGGTTTGATTTATATTTGAACTCATATGCTGCTGCTGTAACCAAAATCATTTCACAATTTGGGATCAATAAGAATCTAATCTGTAATGTTCAAAAAGCTCTTTATTGTTCTCATACTGCCTGTGCTGCAACACCTCTTTTCACCCTCTGTCTGAAACCAGAGCTGCTCTGATTGGTCAACTACTTAGAGATGTCCCGCCCCTTAGCCTATCACGTACAATGTGTTGGAGCGCTGGCCAATAGAAGCACTAGTGTTACACAGTGATGTCACCGTGGTATTTATACTTTTACTGAGTACTTCTTCCACTCTTCTGATTGGTTGACTTACAGGAGGCCATCGCCATGACAGCAGGAGCCGTGTCAGCGCCGCTCATCATTCCCATCATGCACCTGCACACACACAGAGCCAAGAACCACGTGGACACACACACACCTGTGTCCATGCACTCAGGTACACACACACACACACACCCTTTTTATTTTTGTATGGAAGCCCCACTTATATTAGATATACTGTGTGTGTGTGTGTGTGTGTGTGTGTGTGTGTGTGTGTGTGTGTGTGTGTGTGTGTGTGTGTGTGTGTGTGTGTGTGTGTGTGTAGATACCCCCTCCTCTCAGATCTTCTTTTCACTGGACGGCTCGAAGCCAGAGGCGGAGCCTCGGGGGGGCAGCAGGAAGTACAGTGGGCCGCTCCTGTTGCATGCTGGGAAGGTGACGGTCAGAGCGATGGCTGTCACCAGGTAATAAATACACTATGATCTTAAAATACTGCGTTCCAAGTAAAAGTCCTGAAGTGTTATTATTATAACATTTAAAAGTTCTCACAATGTCACGATATTATTATAGAATATTAAATCATCCTGACTTTATAACTAACAAATAATTGTAATCAATCAAAGTTTATTTATATAGCCCAATATCACACAGTTATGGTGAGAAGAAACCAGTAGTGGAGAGAAACCCCCCAGTTAGTGGAGAAACCCCCCAGTTAGGGGAGAAACCCCCCAGTTAGTGGAGAAACCCCCAGTTAGTGGGGAAACCCCCCAGTTAGTGGGAGAAACCCCCCAGTTAGTGGGGAAAACCCCCAGTTATGGGAGAAACCCCCCAGTTATGGAGAAACCCCCCAGTTAGTGGGAGAAAACCCCCATAGTGGGGAAACCCCCAGTTAGTGGAGAAACCCCCAGTTAATGGAGAAACCCCCCAGTTAGTGGAGAAACCCCCCAGTTAGTGGAGAAACCCCCCAGTTAATGGGAGAAACCCCCCAGTTAGTGGAGAAACCCCCCAGTTAATGGAGAAACACCCAGTTAATGGGAGAAACCCCCCCAGTTAGTGGGAGAAACCCCCCAGTTAGTGGGAAACCCCCCAGTTAGTGGGAGAAACCCCCCAGTTAGTGGGGAAAACCCCCCAGTTAAGGGAGAAACCCCCAGTTAGTGGGGAAACCCCCCAGTTAGTGGAGAAACCCCCCAGTTAATGGGAGAAACCCCCCAGTTAGTGGAGAAACCCCCAGTTAGTGGGAGAAACCCCCCAGTTATGGGAGAAACCCCAGTTATGGAGAGAAACCCCCCAGTTAGTGGAGAAACCCCCCAGTTAATGGGAGAAACCCCCCAGTTAGTGGAGAAACCCCCCAGTTAGTGGGGAAACCCCCCAGTTAGTGGAGAAACCCCCCAGTTAGTGGAGAAACCCCCAGTTAATGGGAGAAAACCCCCCAGTTAGTGGAGAAACCCCCCAGTTAGTGGAGAAACCCCCCAGTTAATGGAGAAACCCCCCAGTTAGTGGAGAAACCCCCCAGTTAGTGGAGAAACCCCCCAGTTAGTGGAGAAACCCCCCAGTTAGTGGAGAAACCCCCCAGTTAATGGGAGAAACCCCCCAGTTAGTGGAGAAACCCCCCAGTTAGTGGGAGAAACCCCCCAGTTAGTGGGGAAACCCCCCAGTTAGTGGAGAAACCCCCCCAGTTAGTGGAGAAACCCCCCAGTTAATGGGAGAAACCCCCAGTTTAGTGGAGAACCCCCAGTTAATGGGAGAAACCCCCCAGTTAGTGGAGAAAACCCCCAGTTAGGTGGAGAAACCCCCCAGTTAGTGGGAGAAACCCCCAGTTAGTGGAGAAACCCCCCAGTTAATGGAGAAAACCCCCCAGTTAGTGGAGAAACCCCCCAGTTAGTGGAGAAACCCCCCAGTTAAGGGGAGAAAACCCCCCAGTTAGTGGAGAAACCCCCAGTTAATGGGAGAAACCCCCCAGTTAGGGGAGAAACCCCCCAGTTAATGGAGAAACCCCCCAGTTAGTGGAGAAACCCCCCAGTTAGTGGAGAAACCCCCCAGTTAGTGGAGAAACCCCCCAGTTAGTGGAGAAACCCCCCAGTTAATGGGAGAAACCCCCAGTTAGTGGAGAAACCCCCAGTTAATGGGAGAACCCCCCAGTTATGGAGAAACCCCCAGTTAGTGGGAGAACCCCCAGTTAAGTGGAGAACCCCCCAGTTAGTGGAGAAACCCCCCAGTTAGTGGGAGAAACCCCCCAGTTAATGGGAGAAACCCCCCAGTTAGTGGAGAAACCCCCCAGTTAGTGGGGAAACCCCCCAGTTAATGGAGAAACCCCCCAGTTAGTGGATAAACCCCCCAGTTAGTGGAGAAACCCCCCAGTTAGTGGAGAAACCCCCAGTTAATGGGGAAACCCCCCAGTTAGTGGGAGAAACCCCCAATTAATGGGAGAAACCCCCCAGTTAGTGGAGAAACCCCCCAGTTAGTGGGAGAAACCCCCAGTTAGTGGAGAAACCCCCCAGTTAGTGGAGAAACCCCCCAGTTAATGGGAGAAACCCCCCAGTTAGTGGGAGAAACCCCCAGTTAATGGAGAAACCCCCCAGTTAGTGGAGAAACCCCCAGTTAGGGCGAAACCCCCCAGTTAGTGGAGAAACCCCCCAGTTAGTGGAGAAACCCCCCAGTTAGTGGAGAAACCCCCCAGTTAGTGGCGAAACCCCCCAGTTAATGGAGAAACCCCCCAGTTAATGGGAGAAACCCCCCAGCTAGTGGGAGAAACCCCCCAGTTAGTGGAGAAAACCCCAGTTAATGGGAGAAACCCCCCAGTTAGTGGAGAAACCCCCCAGTTAGTGGAGAAACCCCCCAGTTATGGAGAAACCCCCAGTTAGGGAGAAACCCCCCAGTTAGTGGAGAAACCCCCCAGTTAGTGGGAGAAACCCCCCAGTTAGTGGGAAACCCCCCAGTTAGTGGGAGAAACCCCCCAGTTAGTGGGAGAAACCCCCCAGTTAGTGGAGAAACCCCCCAGTTAGTGGGTAAACCCCCCAGTTAATGGGAGAAACCCCCCAGTTAGTGGGGAAACCCCCCAGTTAGTGGAGAAACCCCCCAGTTAATGTGAGAAACCCCCCAGTTAGTGGAGAAACCCCCCAGTTAGTGGAGAAACCCCCCAGTTAGTGGGAGAAACCCCCCAGTTAGTGGAGAAACCCCCCAGTTAGTGGGAGAAACCCCCAGTTAGTGGAGAAACCCCCCAGTTAGTGGGAGAAACCCCCCAGTTAGTGGGTAAACCCCCCAGTTAATGGGAGAAACCCCCCAGTTAGTGGGGAAACCCCCCAGTTAGTGGAGAAACCCCCCAGTTAATGGGAGAAACCCCCAGTTAGTGGGAGAAACCCCCCAGTTAGTGGGAAACCCCCCAGTTAGTGGAGGAAAACCCCCCAGTTAGTGGAGAAACCCCCCAGTTAGTGGAGAAACCCCCCAGTTAGTGGAGAAACCCCCCAGTTAATGGAGAAACCCCCCAGTTAGCTGAGAAACCCCCCAGTTAGTGGAGAAACCCCCCAGTTAATGGGAGAAACCCCCCAGTTAGTGGAGAAACCCCCCAGTTAATGGGAGAAACCCCCCAGTTTGGAGAAAAGAGGAGAAACCCCCCAGTTAGGGAGAAACCCCCCAGTTAAGGGAGAAACCCCCAGCAGTTAGTGGAGAAACCCCCCAGTTAGTGGGAGAAACCCCCCAGTTGAGGGAAAACCCCCCAGTTAGTGGAGAAACCCCCCAGTTAGTGGAGAAACCCCCAGTTAGTGGAGAAACCCCCCAGTTAATGGGAGAAACCCCCCAGTAGTGGAGAAACCCCCCAGTTAGTGGAGAAACCCCCCAGTTAATGGGAGAAACCCCCAGTTAGTGGAGAAACCCCCCAGTTATGGGAGAAACCCCCCAGTTAGTGGAGAAACCCCCCAGTTAATGGGAGAAACCCCCCAGTTAGTGGAGAAACCCCCCAGTTAGTGGAGAAACCCCCCAGTTAGTGGAGAAACCCCCCCCAGTTAGTGGGAGAAACCCCCCCAGTTAGTGGAGAAACCCCCCAGTTAGTGGAGAAACCCCCCAGTTAATGGAGAAACCCCCCAGTTAGTGGGAGAAACCCCCCAGTTAGTGGTGGGGTAAAGGTACTGAGTGTCTCTCCCCCTCTGAATACCTGTTAGACTTTAATAGAGTTTCTCTGCAGTGACGGCAGACGCAGCTCCACGGTGACGAAGGTTTTTATCGTTGATCAGGCCGATCCCAACAGGAAGTCGAGCGAGGAGGACTTCCTGCTGAGCGACCTGCAGGTAAACACTCTGACATAACGGTAACGAGGTAGCACAGTTTCTTGAATTAAACACAAGTTCTTGTTCTTCTTCCAGCGTCCGTCTGAAGGAGCCTCTGCTGGTTCTCCACTGAGGCCTCCAGGTACATGGGACTGTATCTTATCATCATTCATTGATATGATGTCAGAGGGTCGGTCAGCATGAGACTGAGGGAAAGGGAGCTTTATTATCCAAAGTTACTGTAAACCTTTGAATAATGTAGTTCATCTATTGGTAGTTTGTTTAAATGTATTAATGATGTTGTTTTTTGTTTGTAGAAGCGCATCATTCATTGATTTATTGTAAAATGAATCTGAACTTTTTGATCTGTTTCGATGATAAACTGAAGCAATTTCAAAATGAACCCTATTAACTGAGTTTTAAATTGTTTTTTTGTTAATTCCTACTTAGTGTATAAGGAAATAATGAAGAGGTACAAATGAAATGTTTTGAAAATGATATCTATGGAGGTGCTGATGCTGTTGTGATAGGGGGTCAAAGTTACCCCCCTTGGCGATTCTAGTGTTAATAATAACAAACTTTACTTAAAGGGGACCTATCATGCAAAATGCACTTGTGTACGTCTTTTCTACATGAATATGTGTCCCCGGTGTTCCAGGGAACTCACCAAGTGTCAGAAAACACAACCCTCTCTATTTTCCTCCATACCCAAATCTCTAAAAAAGAGGCTGCAACGGATCTGATCAAAACTGATCCAGATTTGAACACTGTCCTGACGTCAGGACGGTGGCGCTACGGCTATTGGGCCAACTCCACCAATCAGGAGGAGACAGCCACGGCCATTGCCGTTCGAAAGCGCTGGAGACGCTGTAGTACATATGCCAGGCCTGTAAGTGGCGCTGTAGTCTGCCACAAAAGCAGCGAAGAAGACTTCCCGCCCATAGTTACCATGGTTACCCTTCTGTTTATTCTCCGCTGTGGCTTTTTTTCTCCCTCCCCGAGGCAAGCCTTTGCTCCCGCTGCAAACGCGCCTCGTTCCCCTCGTTCCTTGGAAGAGGCGGAGAGGTGGGTGTTTGTCATCTGCTGGTGGACTAACCGGAGAGAATTACAGTGCTTGCCTCAACACCCACCTCTCCGCCTCTTCCAAGGAACGAGGGGACCGTGCGGCAGAGTTTCAGTTTCAGTTTCTTTCGCCGGTCAAGATGTCCGTTAAAGTTTAAATCTTCCGGACAAAATTAGAAAAGTGCCGGTCAAAGGTCTTCTTTGTTATTTATTGAGCTTTAAAACAAATGAATAACGACTCTATATAATAAAACACGGAGGACGGAGATCTATTTTTCTCCCCCTCTTCTGACTTCATCAGAGCACGCTCCCCTCTCCTGCAGGGGGGCGTGGTCAGCTGCAGCTCACAGAATCAGCCCCCTGCAAAAACAGGGCTGGAGAACAGCACATAGAGCGAAATGAGGCATGGCTAAAATGCATGATCTGTTTGGTATTTTGAAAACAGAAACGTATAAATATACCTTATATAGGTATGGCCCTACAATACATCATTTAAATATAGCATGATAGGTCCACTTTAAATAGCAGCTTTCAGACCTACAGTGGCCGACAGGTGCTACAGAGCCCCAAACACTTCAGGAGAACCACCATGCAGATACGGGGGTGAAGTAGAGCCTTTGCACCTGTCGGCCCCCGTACAAAGTGCTTTCAGATAAACAGAACACCTTTAAACTGATCCTCATGAACTCTAGAGTCACTGTGACGTCACTTCCTGTTTGTCTTCAGAGCCGAGGATGATGGGAAGCTCTCCTCTCGCAGGTCCTCGGTTTCTGATTGGTCGGCTGGGCTCTCCGAACAGAAAGCAGCAGACCGGACCCCCCCCACGTCCCCCAGCAGAGGTAAGACACTAACACTGTGGTGCTGAAACGTGTGTGAGCAGGTTTTCATTGAGCCGTTTCCTGTCTGTCAGAGCTCAGGTGGGTTGAGCAGCACGGAGACGTCCAGAATCCAGAGAGAGACCGACTTCCTAAGGTACGAAAACTCAAAAATCATATTAGCTGAACAGAAATGTTTTAAAGAAGGCAAGAACATGTACATATCAAAGAAATATAAAACATCATGGAGGGGAGAAGTGGATCAATCAATGAACCTGGTTTCCCTGGAGAAAAAAATAGATTAGAAAAAAATAGAAAAAAGTCTGAATTTTAAGATTTGAGAAAAAAATCAGTATTTTGGAAAAAAGTTAAAATGTTAAGAAAAAAAATTAAATCCGAGAAATTTCTGAAAAAGTTAGATTTGTTTTGATTTTGGGAGAACAATGTGGATTGGAGAAAAAGTCCACATTTAGAGACTTAGAGAAAAAAAATAGAATTTTGAGAAATTTCTGAAAAAGTCATAATTCTGATATTTTAAGAAAAAGTCAGAATGCAGAGAAACTACAGGAAAAAAAGGAAGGATTTCCTTATCTGTCTCACTCTGTCTCACTCTCCATGTGTGCTCAGTGTCTTACTCTCTCTACCTGTCTCACTCTCCATGTGTGCTCAGTGTCTCACTCTCTCTACCTGTCTCACTCTCCATCAGTGGCGGCCGGTGGTCTTTTTTTTTGGTGGGGCTCTTGACGTACCGTAAGTGACCTACCCGGGGGGTTTCCCCCCGGAATTTTTTTCGAGAAATGACCCCTTAAATGATGACTTCTGGTGATGTTAGAGGGGGGGGGAAAGGAGAAATCGATGCTTAAAAATATGAGAAGACTGATCAATACCTCCATAATCTTCAGTGTGGAAAATATTATTTATCAACCTCAACATCTACCACTTTACCAGGAATTTGTGTTCTCAGAACTGGTCTGTTTTTTTCTTTCTTAAAACTGTTCATGTTTTATGAACCAACACCTTCACCAAGTAGCTTTACAGTGAACTGCATGTGAGATATAAAATTAATAGCATCTTTTCAGTAGCATTAATTATAAATATTTAAGTGGTTCAATACAAGTCACTACAGCATTTCAAACTGAACTGTGAATAAATGCAATTTAAAAAAAATAACCACAACACAAAATGTCATAAATTGTGTTTTTTCTTTGTTTCTCTGAGGATTATTTACAAACAGGCTTATTTACATATAGCAATAACTCAGAAATGAAAAAGCTACATCGTCTAACACGAACAACCAGTTAGCATAATGATAATATATCTGTTATGTACAATGTAACTGGCAAGGCTAGAGCAAGAAAGAACATAAAGTTTGCAAAAGGTTTAAATAACTTCAAGTATCTGTCTTCAGATTACGTGGAGGTTTTAGTCCGATGGGAAGCAGATTTTAAGCGACACCGAAGATAAACCAAAAATGTGGTGGAGCTGCAAACCGTGTAGTGTTGCTGGGACAGAACAGGAGCTATAACCGTTGGAAAATACATCACAGACAATGCAACAAACGTGGAGACAGAACAATCACTTCTGTGATAAATGCCCACTTATTAATAAACTTCTAACAACCATGGGAAACCTCCTCTCTACATATAAAGTGATATCCAAGCATGGGAAACAAAAGACAGCATTTACCTGTTTGCATCCAGCTAGCCAAGCCTTTCTTGTGTACCAGCTACTTGTGAAGCCTCGTGTATAAATGTTGTCTTTTTCACGAGATTGCTGCGATATATTCAAATCGGGTTGGTCCGGTCCAAGGTCTTTAAGCAACAATTTATCTGCCAAACTTCTCCTTTCGAAAGGATTGGAGATTAGCTCTTGAACAGAATTAGGCGGGGACCGAGGTCCGGAGACTCCACCTGCACACGAAGCCATCCTCATCAACTACTGCGTCAACCGGATACGAGTCACTGTCCAAACTACTCACAGACTGCACTGGGCGCTGACATTGGCGCCCGGTGACCGTCATCTTTGACGACGCTGATTGGCTGAAATTATATTTTCGCGGCATAGTTTACACGTTACAGATAGCAACAGTCAGCTGCTAGTGGCTGCTGCTGCACTGGTTGAAGGCTCCTCTCTTAGCGCCCAGACGAGAGAAGGTGCATGGGCAAGGCCAGGCAGGAAACATGTGACTTATCAGTAACTTTAGACATCGTAACACAATTTTAAACGAGATTTTATTGTAGATTATACATTTGACTGATACCAATTATATAATATTTACCTTGTTCATTAAAAATTAAAATTAAAATATATATTTTTTTTTAAACATTTTTTTATTTTTATTTTAATTTTAATTTTTTTTTTTTTTTTTTTTTTTCAATATGGGAAGAGGTGGGGCGGCGCCCCTAGCGCCCCTATGGACCGGCCGCCACTGCTCTCCATGTGTGCTCAGTGTCTCACTCTCTCTACCTGTCTCACTCTCCAGGTGTGCTCAGTGTCTCACTCTCTCTACCTGTCTCACTCTCCATGTGTGCTCAGTGTCTCACTCTCTCTACCTGTCTCACTCTCCAGGTGTGCTCAGTGTCTCACTCTCCGTCCCTCCGACCCGTTCTCTCGGTTCTGTGCTCAGTGTGGAGCAGCACTTCCTGGTTTACCTGCACAGAGACCGCCCCCTGCTGAGGGAGGACAGGTACTGCAGCTGTTTATCTGTTTCTGTGAACCCACCTTTAAAAGCAGATGGATGGAATACATATATATATCATTATTATATATACGTCTACTTTCTCTGTTCTTGGCAGGAGAAAACTCAAACTGTAATTAAAGTAAGGATTTATTTTTGGATGATGTGATAAGGTCTGAAAAATAAATGAAGCTTTTGAAAAGCATGGGAAAGAATTAGAAGACATATATTATTGTTAAAACATTGATCAATTAATTACTTATTTCCTTCATATAGGCAATTAATACAAGATTTCTTCTTTAATTTGAGATTGATGGACATGGGGTGTGTGTGTGTGTGTTGTGTGTGTGTGTGTGTGTGTGTGTGTGTGTGTGTGTGTGTGTGTGTGTGTGTGTGTGTGTGTGTGTGTGTGTGTGTGTGTGTGTGTGTGTGTGCATGTAGGTGGTGTCCTGTGTGTCCTGTGGTTCTCGGGTTCCTGTGAACACTCGGAGCTGTTTGATCTGTGAAACCTCCGTCACACAGCAGCCTCAGGCCAGCATCAAACTGCAGGTCATATTACAATACATCCATTATTATAATATTTCTGTTTACATGAAGCTCTGTATCCTCTGGTGACGTAAACCATGACATACGTCCTTTAGATAACTTGCATTAAAGATGACAAAATGTGTGTGTGTGTGTGTGTGTGTGTGTGTGTGTGTGTGTGTGTGTGTGTGTGTGTGTGTGTGTGCGCATTCAGGATCATGTGATGTGTGTCAGCTGTGGTTGTGGGAATCCAGCTCAGGTCTCCAGATGTCTGACCTGTGAGAGCCGCCTGCAGCCGGTAAAACACTCTACTGTCTGTAGATCCATTATCTATTTTGAACATCATTAATGATCTCACTGTCTGAGGCTCAGGTTATCAGCGATGTAAAGTCTGACAGTGTGATCTGAATCAGAAATCATCTATCCGTCCCACAGCGAGAACATTTACAGAGTTATAGCAAAGGCAAAATAAAATAAGTACACTAACATATAATAAAGGGGCGGCAAGCACATGTTGATTACATCCAATTAGTACATAGTACAAATGAGTAGCATGATTATACCGTGACTCAGGGTTTTTACTCACTGTGACTCAGGGTTTATACTCACTGTGACTCAGGGTTTATACTCACTGTGACTCAGGGTTTATACTCACTGTGACTCAGGGTTTATACTCACTGTGACTCAGGGTTTATACTCACTGTGACTCAGGGTTTATACCCACCGTGACTCAGGGTTTATACCCACCGTGACTCAGGGTTTATACTCACTGTGACTCAGGGTTTTTAATCACCGTGACTCAGGGTTTATACTCACCGTGACTCAGGGTTTATACCCACCGTGACTCAGGGTTTATACCCACCGTGACTCAGGGTTTAAACCCACCGTGACTCAGGGTTTTTAATCACCGTGACTCAGGGTTTATACCCACCGTGACTCAGGGTTTATACCGACCGTGACTCAGGGTTTATACCCACCGTGACTCAGGGTTTATACCCACCGTGACTCAGGGTTTATACTCACCGTGACTCAGGGTTTATAATCACCGTGACTCAGGGTTTTTAATCACCGTGACTCAGGGTTTATACCCACCGTGACTCAGGGTTTATACCCACCGTGACTCAGGGTTTATACTCACCGTGACTCAGGGTTTATACCCACCGTGACTCAGGGTTTATACTCACCGTGACTCAGGGTTTTTAATCACCGTGACTCAGGGTTTATACCCACCGTGACTCAGGGTTTATACTCACCGTGACTCAGGGTTTTTAATCACCGTGACTCAGGGTTTATACCGACCGTGACTCAGGGTTTATACCCACCGTGACTCAGGGTTTATACTCACCGTGACTCAGGGTTTATAATCACCGTGACTCAGGGTTTATAATCACCGTGACAAAACTACCAAACCACAAAACTACAGAACTACAAAACTACAAAACCAAAAAACACAAAACTACAAAACCACAAGACTACAAAACTACAGAATTACAAAACAACAAACTACAGAACTACAAAACAACAAACTACAGAACTACCAAACTACAACAACAAAAAACTACAGAACTACCAAACCACAAGACTACAGAACAGAACTACAAAAACAGGGTTTTTACTCACCATGGCCCATTCTCATGTCTTCAAATGTCCCTCCTCGACTCCTATCCTCGAGACTTAGTCCCGCCCACAGGAGATGCGAGCGGAGGAGCCGAGGAGGGGAGCCGACGAGAGAGGAGGGGAAGCAGCAGGCGGTTAGAGAAATGAGAACTCCTCTCCTCTGAGTGGTCATTTTAAAGAGACGTCCATTAATGATGACAGGAGGCACAGCAGCCCTCTGTCTGATGGACAGATGTGTTCATGACCACTTATATATTTACTTTGATTCATTCACAGTGCGGTATAATGAGACAATAACAGGCTACAGATGCAGATGCACGCACACACACACACACACACACACACACACACACACACACACACACACACACACACACACACACACACACACACACACACACACACACACACACACACACACACACACCACACACACACACATATATATTTATATAAATATATACAATTTCAGAATCAAACGGAGCACTCTCATAATAACGTAACACTATCAGAGACTGGATATACCCCCCCCCCCCTCTCTGGTCGCTACAATGAGGGAAATAAATGACGGGCCAAAAGTTTTATTTACAAGTATTAAAAGTAAGCAGAGGACACCAAACCAACTGAGACCTGTCTGTCCGCTGCATCTACGCACACACTGCACCACACACACCTTCACCACACACACCTACACCACACACACGCACCTACAGCTCCTAAAGCATATAATCAGGCTACAGCCGTTGTGTATTTTATTTTGTGAAGCACTAAATGGTTTTAGAAAAATATCGACTTTGTTTGTAGATATCTACTAAACTAAAGCAGAGAGAGTAGGCCTGTTATACTGAGTGATATATATTATACACACTGCTCTGCTTTCTGCACGGACCTCACAGCTGTTGAAAGCAGTTAATAAAATAATATCCAGGGGATGCATGCAGAGCTGTGATTGGCTGAGATAAGTCCGGCCGTGCGTCTCGACTCTTTGAAACATCACTGTTGCCGGAAATGCATCCACGAAGGAGCCGTGGAGGACCGTGGAGGACCCATCAGTGTCTCCTCGGTTATAGCTCCTCCAGAGAGCCTCCTCGACGCTCGATGCTCGGTCCTCGATGTGCATTTCGAGAAATGAGATGTCCTTCAACATGGCGCGCTAAAATTCATTTCCGGGTCACTACCGGAGGACCGAGGAGTCGAGGAGTCGAGGAGGGACATTTGATGACATGAGAAAGGGCCCATGACGGAGGGACTCCTGTTCACCTGAGTTTATTGTAATTAAGTGTAACCTGCTGTGTTGCAGGCGGTGTGTGTGGGCAGCAGCGCCCCCTCTGGCAGGATGTTGAGCTGTTCTCGGTGTAAACGGTTGAACCGTTCTGACGCCAGATTCTGCGACTGGTGCGGCTCCAAGGTGAAAAGACTCTTAAATCACATATCTTTTACATACTCCAAAACTATTGGAACAGCGAGGCCAATTGCTTTATTTTGGCTGTACACTGAAAACATTGGGTTTGACATCAAAAGATGAATATGAGACAAGAGATCAGTATTTCAGCTTTTAATACCAGGTATTTACATCTAGATTTGTCAAAGAACTGAGAAGATGACGTAGTTTTTAACGGAACACCACATTTTAGGTGAGCAAAAGTATATGAACAGAGACTTAAAACAGTGTGAAACGTGAATAATAATCCAGATTTAGTTGCAAACCGTTTGCTTGCAATAACATAATAATAATAATTCCAATAGTTTTGGAGAGGACTGTACATAAGTCATAGTGCTAAGCTAGTTCTGAGAGTGAAGCATTGTGGGAGATGTAGTGTGTGTGTGTTTTTGCAGGGTCATGCAGTCAGTTGTGTGTTGTGTTGGCGCTGTGGAGCGAGTGCCCCCCCGAACGCCTCCTACTGCCCCGCCTGCAGCACCTTCCTTCAGGCTCCGCCCCCCCGAACATCCCGCAGTGACATGACAACACCTGTCGGGGGCGCCAAGGCCAAACAGGTAGCTGCCCCCCCACATCATGCTAATGCACAACACAGTATTTCATTTCATTTCATTTTGATTTGTTCCGTTCATGGTGTGCACAACTTAATGTATAACAATTATTTACAGAACATGTCTCTATAAACACACCGTACCCCAAAAGGAGCAGGGAGAAGATCATAATCTGATATGACCGGCCCCTTTCTCAACAAAAATAATTAATAAATAGAAATAGATGGTCTGTCCTTCATATTTACTCATTCACAGCCAATCATAACAGTATCGTAGAAAAATAAGAGAAACGTAAAAAAAAATACTTAGTTCCCACTTGACAGTTAACGGAAAGAAACTAAACTAAACAACAACAACAACAAACTTCACATAAACAAGGAAAAGTGCAACATCTGGGTCCTACTGGAGTCGAAGGGGGAAAGCGGCGCACAATAATAATAACAATAATAACAATAATAATAACAACAATAATAATAATAACAATAAAAATAATGATAATAACAATAATAACAATAATAATAATGGGACCTGCAAATAAAGAACACACATCGCAAATATTTACCAATGCAGGACCAGGGTACATGAACTATCACATTCCGCTTCATAAAGTCCTATTTTTCTTAATTTATACAAGTTCTGTAACTGAACAATACCTCTACAATTCTTCAGATCATTCTGTTGAGAACAGTTTTACACCGAAATACACATTTGTATGAACAGTTAACGTGACGCTCTCTGCCTGCAGGCTTCAGCACCGACTTCCCATGATGCAACCTTGCAGGCCACACCCTCTAAAGGCCCCGCCCCCCGCAAAAGGATGGCCCCGCCCACTGCTGAGTGCTCCACTCAGACTGTTGGACTCTATTACCCATCAGCCACCGAGCTGCAGAGGAAGGAGCAACAGAGAGAGAAACGCAGCAAAACAAACGCAGAGCGACAACCGGCGAGCGCCGTCAGCCCGGGGAGAGGTGAGGACTACAAAACTATAGAACTACAAAACCACAAGACTACAAAACTACAGAACTATAGAACTACAAAACTACAAAACCACAAGACTACAAAACTACAGAACTATAGAACTACAAAACTACAGAACTACAAAACCACAAGACTACAAAACTACAGAACTACAAAACTATAGAACTACAAAACTACAAAACCACAAGACTACAAAACTACAGAACTACAAAACCACAAGACTACAAAACTACAGAACTACAAAACTAGAGAACTACAAAACTACAAAACCACAAGACTACAAAACTACAGAACTACAAAACTATAGAACTACAAAACTACAAAACCACAAGACTACAAAACTACAGAACTATAGAACTACAAAACTACAGAACTACAAAACCACAAGACTACAAAACTACAGAACTACAAAACTAGAGAACTACAAAACTACAAAACCACAAGACTACAAAACTACAGAACTACAAAACTATAGAACTACAAAACTACAAAACCACAAAACTACAGAACTACAAAACTATAGAACTACAAAACTACAAAACCACAAGACTACAAAACTACAGAACTACAAAACTATAGAACTACAAAACTACAAAACCACAAGACTACAAAACTACAGAACTATAGAACTACAAAACTACAAAACCACAAGACTACAAAACTACAGAACTATAGAACTACAAAACTACAAAACCACAAGACTACAAAACTACAGAACTATAGAACTACAAAACTACAAAACCACAAGACTACACAACTACAGAACTATAGAACTACAAAACTACAGAACTACAAAACCACAATACTACACAACTACAGAACTATAGAACTACAAAACTACAGAACTACAAAACCACAATACTACACAACTACAGAACTACAAAACTACAGAATTAAAGAACTACAAAAAAAATCAGAAAAAAACTACAATACTACAAAACTACAGAACTACAAGACTACAGAACTACAAAACAAAAAAAACAAAAAACACAAAACTACAATACTACAAAAAACACAAAACTACAGAACTACAGAACTACAAGACCACATAACAACAGAACTACAAAACTACAAAACTACAATACTACAAAACCACAAAACTACAAAACCACAAAACTACTTAACTACAGAACTACAAAACTACGAAACTACAAAGATATGCTGAACGACGACAAAGAGCTGTCTTGTTGTCCTCAGGTTTCTGGAGGCAGCAGGTGGATCATGTGTGTTCTCACCTGAGGAGTTACGCTCAGAACAACGCCTCCTTCAGGACACTGCTGGGAGAACCTCGCCTCGGCCGGGTAACTTCAGCTCACCTGTACCACACCTGTACCACACCTGTACCACACCTGTACCACACAGCGCGGCTGTTTCTTATACCTTTTATGCCACACACTCACATGCATGTCCTCCTCTCACCTGTCCTCCTCGCTCCTCTCACCTGTCCTTCTCTCACATGTCCTCCTCTCACCTGTCCTCCTCTCACCTCTCACCTGTCCTTCTCTCACCTGTCCTCCTCTCACCTGAGGCCTGTACGACGAAGCCGGTTCAACCTAACCTGGATATGTTTGAGTTGCCCGGTTTACCTAATCCAAAACAAACCCGCTCTGGCTAAACTGTCCTACGACGCTGGTTATCAAGTGGATCGCTCAAGCCAGCCGTGTCCTATCTAGTTAGGTGCGCGTTCACATGAAAGGGGTGGTATCTGGAGCATTCGACCAATCTCAAACATGGACAAGCGTACTGACAGCACAGCGTCATACTTCCTGAATGAAAAGTGAACTTTAATATTAGTCAAATATGAAGAAGTTAAACTTTAAACATCCATGACTTAAACACTTTACCCAGGATCAAAGCCACATAGCTGCACCTGCAAGGTGAATACAGCTGGTAACAGAGAAAGTGTTTGAATGCGTACATTAACAGGTTTATGATATCACTGCCCCGTCTAAGACACGATCTGACTTTAATTACATTTGACTCCAGTGTTTGGTCAATTTAATGTGTTGCTTAAAATAATACTTCTGCATCCAGTATGTGACACTGTGAGTGTTGCACGGCCAGATACGGCTCAGCTGACTCAGATAAGGAAATATATGATACATTATGATGTGATATGATATGAATGATAATGGGACACATCGACGTCTGCACTCACAGTGCCACGGACTGTACGTAATGTTACTCTGATCCGGTTACTTATGTCGTGGCAGATATTTAAGTAAGCTTTCTTAACGCTAATGTTATAATAGTCAGATTGCTCTGAAGATGGGAGGGGATATTCTATTAATGTTCACGTTCACACAGTCAGTTGATTTTTGCCGGCCGTCTTTCCTGCAACGGCAGTTTTTCTGTATTTCCTCCATCCTGTAATATGACTTGATAGCTTTAAACTCCGCACACGGAGCTCTGATTGGTCAGCAGGCGGTGCTTTCACTGAGATGATCTCTGCAACCTAACCTGCTCCCGAGGAGGTTAGCCGCTCAGCATGATTTTCTCTTAGCGAGCTAACTTCAGGGAAAACTCTGGCTTTCCGGTCCTACGACGCTGGTTCTCTTTTTAGCGGGCTAGATCTCCATGGTAACTTATGCTGAGCGGCTAACCTCCTCGGGAGGAGGTTAGGTTGCAGGCTAAGAGATCAACTCAGTGAAAGCACCGCCTGCTGACCAATCAGAGCTCCGTGTGCGGAGTTTAAAGCGATCAAGTCATATTACAGGATAGAGGAAATACAGAAAAACTGCCGTTGCAGGAAAGACGGCCGGCAAAAATCACCTGACTGTGTGAACGTGAACATGAATAGAATATCCCCTCCCATCTTCAGAGCAATCTGACTATTATAACATTAGCGTTAAGAAAGCTTACTTAAATATCTGCCACGACATAAGTAACCGGATCAGAGTAACATTAAGTACAGTCCGCGGCACTGTGAGTGCAGACGTCGATGTGTCCCATTATCATTCATATCATATCACATCATAATGTATCATATATCTCCTTATCTGAGTCAGCTGAGCCGTATCTGGCCGTGCAACACTCTGTGTCACATACTGTATGCAGAAGTATTATTTTAAGCAACACATTAAGTTGATGAAACACTCGAGTCAAATGTAATTAAAGTCAGATCGTGTCTTAGACGGGGCAGTGATTTCATAAACCTGTTAATGTACGCATTCAAACACTTTTTCTGTTACCAGCTGTATTCACCTTGCAGGTGCAGCTATGTGGCTTTGATCCTGGATAAAGTGTTTAAGTCATGGATGTTTAAAGTTTAACTTCTTCATATTTGACTAATATTAAAGTTCACTTTTCATTCAGGAAGTATGACGCTGCGCTGTCAGTACGCTTGTCCATGTTTGTGATTGGTCGAATGCTCCAGATACCACCCCTTTCATGTGAACGCGCACCTAACTAGATAGGACACGGCTGGCTTGAGCGATCCACTTGATAACCAGCGTCGTAGGACCGCTTAGCGAGAGCGCGTATGTTTTGGATTGGGCCAACCGGCTAACTCAAACATATCCAGGTTAGGTTGAACCGGCTTCGTAGTACAGGCCTCTGTCCTCCTCTCACCTGTCCTCCTCTCACCTCTCACCTGTCCTCCTCAGATGGTCTCGGCTGTGATTCAGGAGGATCAACATGAGGTCACTGTGAGCGTCAGCTTCGTGTCGGCCGGACGGGAACCTCTGCAGGTCCTCATTTATTATCTCTGCCATGTTGTGGTTGTTGTTGTTTGATGATGACGATAGAGTTGGTGAATCTTGAACCCGACGACGAGGAAGATCATAATTTAAGAGCAAAGTTGAACAAACTGAGAGACTTGATTCATGAAATGCAAAACAAACATAAGACTGCAGACATAATTCTGATATTTTAAGAAACATTTTTTGATTTTGAGAAAAGTCAGTATGTGAAAAAAAAGTAAACATTTTAAGAAAAAAGTAAACATTTTAAGAAAAAAGTAAACATTGAGAAAAAGTAAACATTATAAGAAAAAAGTAAACATTTTAAGAAAAAAGTAAACATTTTGAGAAAAAAGTCAAAAAATAATAATGTTGAGAAAAAAACTGAAAACTTCTGGAAAAGTCATAATTCAGAATTTGAAAAAAAAGTCAACATTTTTATGAAAAAAGTCAGAATCCTGAGCATTTCAGAAAAAAGGCAACATTTTGGGGGAAAGTCAACATTTTAGGACAATTTACTTTTTAAGATTTTGAAAAAAAAATCCTGAGAAATGTCTGAAAAAGTCATAATTCTGATATTTTAAGAATTTTTCTTAGATTTTGAGAAAAATCAGAATTTGAAAAAAGTCAACATCTTTTGAAAAAAGTCAACATTTTAAGATTTTTTGAAAAAGTCAACTTTGAACAGACTGCAGTGTTTCTCAGGTGGATCCTGCAGGAGACGGAGACTCTCTGAGCAGCGTCACAGAAACATCTGCCCACAGAGGTAAGAACCAGCTCCATGTTAATAAACGTCATTGTTTAATATGTTTAAAAAGATGTCTTTTCTCCGTGACCTCACTTCCTCTGTTGGTCCTCAGGTCTGATGAAACCTCCCAAACTGAACCGGACTCCCAAACCTCCGGTGAGTAACTAATGTGGTGGAAATGTATCGAGACAAACTAACAAATAATTGTAAAATGGTGAGGAAACCTTTCCGTTATACTGAAATGAAGATTCTTGAAATAAACAGTCTTTAAGGGAGTTTATTCTTAAAGAAGGTAAATCGTCACAGAGTCAAGCAGTCTGCATCAGGAGGTCTGCAGAGGCTCTGAGATAGAGACAGGGAGGCGTGTGGCGCAGTGGCTAGAGCCTAGCTATGGGGATCAGATGGTCACAGGTTCAAAGCATGTCGTTGTGTCCCTGAGACACTTCACCCCAAAGTGCCCACAGTACTGAGTATGTGAGTCGCTTTGGATAAAAGCGTCTAACATGTAACATCTGTGATTGGTCCCCGGTGTGCAGGTGCTGGACGTGCAGCTGCTGGAGGAGCTGGGTCCGGGGGGGGGTCGGGTCAGCGCCGTGCAGCAGCTCCTGGACCAGGTACGAGCCTCAGCAGCCAATCAGACGCCTGCTCTGCTGATAAACTTCACTCTGATTGGTCTATTTCTCCTGCAGGGGGCGGATCCTTCCTGCTGCCACGGCGACGGCCGGCACGCGCTGACGGTTGCCGTGGTGAACGGTCACCATGACGTACTTCCTGTTTTGGTGCAAAGAGGCGCCGACGTGGACCAGCAGTCCGGACCGTAAGAGAGGAACCAGAAACAGACACACACACACACACACACATATATATATATCACAAAGTTAATTTGATATACAGTCAATGGAAAGAGACTCAATAAAAGCCACTACACTAAAGGAACGGCTGATATTTCATTTAAAAAGTGAGTTCAAGGGGAACGGGCGTTCAAAATCAAGTCAATGCAAAGAAAGTCTGTGATCTTCACAAATAAACGTCTCTCCTCAGTGACGGATGATTGATGGAAAAACAACTCGATTTGTTTTAACCAGTTAGTGCAAACACAATGATAATTCAGTTGAGTCTCTGCCTTCCTCATTGATCTTCTCCACTTCCAGATATTAAGAATTGAGAAAGAAAGACATCTGAATGTATTTCTGAAGCACCACCTCTGCCTCGCCTCAGTCACTAAAGCCTTTGCATCACGTGAGGTGGAGTCGGTAGTTTCTCTTCTGCTCTGCCTTCAACACCGAGCAGCGCCTCATTACTTTGACCAGAAACTAGGCCCGTCTCTTGATCTTCTAGGAGTTGTTGTAATCACTTAGTGCGAACCTTTATATATACAGTCTATGGTGCGAACACATGTGACCAATACGGACAGAGAAACAATGAGCATGAGAAAATACAACAGGTGCACTTTCTAACCTCCTCAGGAAGAGGACCACGGCTCTGCATGAAGCTGCAGCTCTGGGACCTGAAGGCCTGCAGTCTGCGAGAGTCCTGCTCAGGTAACACACACCTGCACACACACACCTGCACACACACACCTGCACACACACACCTGCACACACACACCTGCACACGCACACCTGCACACACACACCTGCACACACACACCTGCACACACACACCTGCACACACACACCTGCACACACACACCTGCACACGCACACCTGCACGCGCACACCTGCACGCACACACCTGCACGCACACACCTGCACACACCTGCACACACACACCTGCACGCACACCTGCACACACACACCTGCACACACCTGCACACACACACCTGCACGCACACACCTGCACGCACACACCTGCACGCACACACCTGCACACACACACCTGCACACACACACCTGCACACGCACACCTGCACACCTGCACGCACACACCTGCACGCACACACCTGCACACACACACCTGCACACACACTGACACACACCTGCACACACACTGACACACACACCTCAAGGTTCTTTATTGTCAATCTGACATAGCTACAGAGTAATTATGCAGTTGAAAATCTTATGTCACAGGCTTCTCCAACAATGCAACATAATAACATAACATAATAACAATAAGAGCAAGAGCAATACAAAAATAATAATAGTTATAAAAATGAAATAAAGTTATGATGTGGAATAGTGCAGTATGAGTCTATATACAAGTTATTGGAATGATATATATATATTAGGTATTAGATACATACTACTGAGTAGCAGTTGAATGTTTGATGTTGTTTCAACAGTTCAATTGTTTAACAGTCTCACTGCCCGCGGGAAGAAACTGTCTCCGAATCTTCTTGTCCTTGCCCGGATGCTGCGGTAACGTCTGCCAGACGGCAACAGAAAGAACAGTTTGTGGCTGGGGTGATGGGGGTCTTTGATAATCCGTAGTGATTTCTTCCTGAGCCGCTGGGAGTAAAGGTCCTCCATGGATGGCAGCTCCGTCCTGGTGATGTGCTGTGCAGTTTTCACCACCCTCTGTAAAGCCTTACGATCGAGGTCGGTGCAGCTGCCGTACCAGGCCGTCATGCTGCCAGTGAGGATACTCTCTATCGTGCACCTGTAGAAGTTGCAGAGTATCCTGGAATCCATTTTGAACCTCCTCAACCTGCGGAGGAAGAAGAGCCGCTGTCGAGCTTTCTTGGTGATGGTGGTGGTGTGAAGAGACCATGTCAGGTCCTCAGTGATGTGGACCCCAAGGAACCTGAAGCTTTTGACTCTCTCCACCGTAGTCCCATTGATGGCGATGGGGGCGTGTCCCTCTCCCTGCTGCTTCCTGTAATCCACAATCAGCTCCTTTGTTTTGCTGATGTTGAGATGGAGGTTGTTCTCCTGGCACCAAGATGTCAGGTTTTCGACCTCCTCTCTGTACGCCGTCTCGTCATCGTCTGTGATCTGGCCGATGACGGTCGTGTCATCAGCAAACTTCACGATGGTGTTGGAGCTGTGTGTGGCCACGCAGTCGTGGGTGAACAGGGAGTAGAGGAGAAGGCTGAGCACGCAGCCTTGAGGGGCACCGGTGTTGAGAATCAGGGTGGAGGATGTGATGTTTCCCACCCGCACTGCCTGGGGTCTGCCCGTCAGGAAGTTCAGGATCCAGTCACAGAGGGCGCTGTTGAGCCCGAGGTCTCTGAGCTTGATGGCCAGCTTGGAGGGCACAATGGTGTTGAATGCTGAACTGTAGTCAATGAACAGCATTCTCACATATGTGTTCCTGTTCTTCGGGTCCAGGTGTGAGAGGGCAGTGTGGAGGGTGAGGGCTATGGCGTCGTCTGTGGACCTGTTTGCTCTGTAGGCAAACTGCAGGGGGTCCAGAGATTCAGGGAGGGAGGAGGTGATGAATAATTTGACTAACCGCTCAAAGCACTTCATTATGATGGAGGTGAGTGCTACTGGGCGGTAGTCGTTGGGGCAGGTGATGATTGTCTTTTTGGGGACAGGAATGATGGTGGAGTGTTTAAGACATGTGGGGACTACAGACTGCAGCAGGGACCTGTTGAAGATGTCTGTGAACACCTCTGCCAGCTGAACTGCACACACCCTGAGAACACGGCCAGGGATGCCATCAGGTCCAGGAGCCTTGTGTGGGTTAACCCTTTTAAAGGATTTACACACATCTGCCCTATTTAAAACAAAAGGGCAGTGTAGCTCCTGGTCCCTCTGTACCTCCACAGCCTGGCTGCTCTCAAAGCGTGCAAAAAAACTGTTTAGCTCATCTGGGAGAGATGCGCACGCAGACACTCCCGCAGCACCCCCCGCTGCTCCTTTGTAGTCAGTCATTGTCCTTAGTCCCGCCCACATATTCCTAGTGTTACAGCCTTTGAAGTCAGATTCCACCTTCTCTTTGTACTGTCTCTTTGCATTTTTTATTGCTCTCCGGAGATCATACCTAGACTTCCTGAACTCCTCCAAATCTCCCGCTGTGTGCGCGAGAGTGCGCGCTTTCAGTTTGCCGCGCACCTCACCGTTTACCCAGGGCTTTTGATTTGGGAATGTCCGTACAGAAACCTTCGGTACCACGTCATCGATGCATTTCCCAATGTAGCAGATGACAGTGTCCGTGTGTGTGTTGATGTTATTGTCCTCAAACACACTCCAATCCGTAGATGCAAAGCAATCCTGCAGTGCTGAATCTGACTCCTCGCTCCATCGCTGTACTGTCCTTGTTATCGGTCTGTCCCTTTTAAGTTTCTGCTTGTAAGCAGGCAGCAGCAGTAGTGAGATATGGTCTGATTTGCCGAAGGGAGGGCGAGGGAGAGCCTTATATCCATTCCGGAAAGGGGAATAAACATGGTCCAGTATGTTTCCCCCGCGCGTCGGGAAGTTGATGTGTTGGTAATATTTTGGCAAAACCTTCTTCATGTTGGCGGTGTTGAAATCTCCGGCCACAACGAACGCCGCATCTGGCCGTGACGTCTCGGTTTTATCAATAAACCCAAACAGCTGATCGAGTGCCGTGTTGTTGTCGGCGAGTGGCTGCGGCGGGATATACACTGCTGTTATCACAACAGATGTGAATACCTGCACACACACCTGCACACACACATGCACACACACACTGACACACACACCTGCACACACACCTGCACACACACATGCACACACACACTGACACACACACCTGCACACACACACTGACACACACACACTGACACACACACCTGCACACACACTGACACACACACACCTGCACACACACTGACACACACACACCTGCACACACACACTGACACACACACACCTGCACACACACACTGACACACACACCTGCACACACACTGACACACACACACCTGCACACACACTGACACACACACACCTGCACACACACACTGACACACACACACTGACACACACACCTGCACACACACACACCTGCACACACACTCACTGACACACACCGACACACAGACACACACACACACTGACACACACACACACACTTGCACACACACTGACACACACCGACACACACACCTGCACACACACACTGACACACACACACACACCTGCACACACACATTGACACACACACCTGCACACACACACTGACACACACACACTGACACACACACACACAGACCTGCACACACAGACACACACACACACACACACACTGACACACACACACTGACACACACACTGACACACACACTGACACCCACACACACAGACCTGCACACACAGACACACACACACACACACTGACACACACACACTGACACACACACACTGACACACACACCTGCACACACACACCTGCACACACACACCTGCACGCACACACCTGCATGCACACCTGCACACACACACCTGCACACACCTGCACACACACACCTGCACACACACACTGACACACACACTTGCACACACACACCTGCACACACACCTGCACACACACACCTGCACACACCTGCACACACACTGACACACACACTTGCACACACACACCTGCACACACACACCTGCACACCTGCACACACACACTGACACACACTGACACACACACACACCTGCACACACACACACACCTGCACACACACACTGACACACACACACTGACACACACCTGCACACACACACACCTGCACACACACACTGACACACACACCTGCACACACACACCTGCACACACACACCTGCACACACACACCTGCACACACCTGCACACACACACACCTGCACACACACACTGACACACACACTTGCACACACACACCTGCACACACACACCTGCACACACACACCTGCACACACACACTGACACACACTGACACACACTGACACACACACATGCACACACACACTGACACACACACACTGACACACACCTGCACACACACACACCTGCACACACACACCTGCACACACACACCTGCACACACACACCTGCACACACACACCTGCACACACACATCTGCACACACACACTGACACACACACCTGCACACACACACCTGCACACACACACTGACACACACATCTGCACACACACACTTGCACACACACACTGACACACACACACTGACACACACACCTGCACACACACACTGACACACACACACACACTGACACACCTGCACACACACACTGACACACACACCTGCACACACACACTGACACACACATCTGCACACACACACTGACACACACACCTGCACACACACACCTGCACACACACACCTGCACACACACACTGACACTGACACACACACACACTGACACACACACACTGACACACACACCTGCACACACACACCTGCACACACACTGACACACACCGACACACACACACACTGACACACACACCTGCACACACACCTGCACACACACCTGCACACACACACTGACACACACACCTGCACACACACACTGACACACACACACTGACACACACACCTGCACACACACACACTGACACACACACACCTGCACACACACTGACACACACACACCTGCACACACACACTGACACACACACACACTGACACACACACCTGCACACACACACTGACACACACACACTGACACACACACACTGACACACACCGACACACACCTGCACACACACACTGACACACACACACACACTTGCACACACACTGACACACACCGACACACACACCTGCACACACACACACTGACACACACACTGACACCTGCACACACACACTGACACCTGCACACACACACCTGCACACACACTGACACACACACTGCACACACACTGACACACACACCTGCACACACACACTGACACACACCTGCACACACACACTGACACACACACCTGCACACACACATGACACACACACACACACCTGCACACACACACTGACCACACACACACTGAACACACACACCTGCACACACACACTGACACACACACACTGACACACACACACTGACACACACCGACACACACCTGCACACACACACTGACACACACACACACACTTGCACACACACTGACACACACCGACACACACACCTGCACACACACACACTGACACACACACTGACACCTGCACACACACACTGACACCTGCACACACACACCTGCACACACACTGACACACACACACTGACACACACACCTGCACACACACACTGACACACACCTGCACACACACACTGACACACACACCTGCACACACACACTGACACACACACACACACCTGCACACACACACTGACACACACACATTGACACACACACCTGCACACACACACTGACACACACACTGACACCCACACACACAGACCTGCACACACAGACACACACACACTGACACACACACCTGCACACACACACACTGACACACACACTGACACACACACACACACTTGCACACACACTGACACACACCGACACACACACCTGCACACACACACACTGACACACACACTGACACCTGCACACACACACTGACACCTGCACACACACTGACACACACACACTGACACACACACCTGCACACACACACTGACACACACCTGCACACACACACTGACACACACACCTGCACACACACACTGACACACACACACACCTGCACACACACATTGACACACACACCTGCACACACACACTGACACACACACACTGACACACACACTGACACCCACACACACAGACCTGCACACACAGACACACACACACACACACACACACTGACACACACACACTGACACACACACCTGCACACACACACTGACACACACACTGACACCCACACACACAGACCTGCACACACACACACACACACTGACACACACACACTGACACACACACACACACACACACTGACACACACACACTGACACCTGCACACACACACCTGCACACACACACACCTGCACACACACACTGACACACACACACCTGCACACACACACTGACACACACACACCTGCACACACACACTGACACCTGCACACACACACTGACACACACACACACTGACACACACACACCTGTACACACACACATTGACACACACACCTGCACACACACACCTACACACACACACACACTGACACCCACACCTGCACACACAGACACACACACCTGCACACACACACACTGACACACACACCTGCACACACACTGACACACACACCTGCACACACACACTGACACACACACCTGCACACACACACTGACACACACACACCTGCACACACACACTGACACACACACACCTGCACACACACACTGACACACTAAGGGACTGCACCTCGGCAGGAAGCTGCTCTGATCTTTAAGAGTTAACTGATATAAGCAATCTGTCCAAATGATCCAGTCTCTCCTAAATCTCCCCATAATAACCAGTCAGCCAACAGAGAACAGAAATGGCCTCTTCCTGGTTCAAATGTCAGAAATAGATTCAGCATCCTCGATAACCCCTCAACAGTTGTCTCCACGGGCTATAATTCATTCTTTCTTCATCTTGTGTAAATGTCCCAACATCTGCAGGTTAGCATCCAGCAGTTTCCATGGAGACCCTACTGTACATTTCTAACATACATCAGGACTCTATGAGCAACAACACTATCATGGTTGATTGCAATTATTATTATTACGCTAAGAAAATGTAACTACGAAGAGACACTTGAGTTCATCTGAAATGGTTTGTTTTGAAAGGTTGGAATGTTTTTCTCAGACGTATGTCTTCTATCTGCTGTTCCAGCTGTAAGGCGAGCGTTGGGCGCAGGAGCTCCGGTGGTCAGACGGCGTACGACGCGGCGCTGAGATCCGGCTGCAGAGAGACCGTGTCCCTGATCACAGCTCAGACCGGAGACCAGCTGCTGAGACAACTGACCGAGCCTGGACGTCTCCTGAACCACAGACTGAACCTGGACGTCTCCTGAACCACAGACTGAACCTGGACGTCTCCTGAACCACAGACTGAACCTGGACGTCTCCTGAACCATAGACTGAACCTGGACGTCTCCTGAACCACAGACTGAACCTGGACGTCTCCTGAACCATAGACTGAACCTGGACGTCTCCTGAACCACAGACCAAACCACAGACTGAACCTGGACGTCTCCTGAACCACAGACTGAACCTGGACGTCTCCTGAACCACAGACTGAACCTGGACGTCTCCTGAACCACAGACTGAACCTGGACGTCTCCTGAACCACAGACTGAACCTGGACGTCTCCTGAACCACAGACTGAACCTGGACGTCTCCTGAACCACAGACTGAACCTGGACGTCTCCTGAACCACAGACTGAACCTGGACGTCTCCTGAACCACAGACCAAACCACAGACTGAACCTGGACGTCTTCTGAACCACAGACTGAACCTGGACGTCTCCTGAACCACAGACTGAACCTGGACGTCTCCTGAACCACAGACTGAACCTGGACGTCTCCAGAACCACAGACTGAACCTGGACGTCTCCTGAACCACAGACCAAACCACAGACTGAACCTGGACGTCTTCTGAACCACAGACTGAACCTGGACGTCTCCTGAACCACAGACTGAACCTGGACGTCTCCTGAACCACAGACTGAACCTGGACGTCTCCAGAACCACAGACTGAACCTGGACGTCTCCTGAACCACAGACTGAACCTGGACGTCTCCTGAACCACAGACTGATCCTGAGTCTGTCTGAAGCAGCCGGATGTGGACTTACTGCAAGATAGATTTGACAGTGATAGTTCTCTGGTTTACTGGCTGTAGTTTGAGATCATTTTCATAATGCAGATTTCTTGATATCTTCTAGAATGTGTCTATCTGTTAAATGTCAGAAAAGTTGTGAAGTGTCTTTAAATGTCTCGTTTCTACAGCGACATCTTCAGCATGAAACTCTTCCACCCTGTGCCTCGTCCCAGAGACAGATGTAAGATGTGTCCACGTCTGAAATAAAGCTTGTTTTAAAGAAGCACTGGATACGTTTCATACCTTCCATACAGTAGTTCCTCACACCGCTGGGGGGAGGCGAGCCCAGCTCACTCAGGAAATAGCTTCCATACAGTAGTTCCTCACACCGCTGGGGGGAGGCGAGCCCAGCTCACTCAGGAAATACCTTCCATACAGTAGTTCCTCACACCGCTGGGGGGAGGCGAGCCCAGCTCACTCAGGAAATAGCTTCCATACAGTAGTTCCTCACACCGCTGGGGGGGAGGCGAGCCCAGCTCACTCAGGAAATAGCTTCCATACAGTAGTTCCTCACACCGCTGGGGGGAGGCGAGCCCAGCTCACTCAGGAAATACCTTCCATACAGTAGTTCCTCACACCGCTGGGGGGAGGCGAGCCCAGCTCACTCAGGAAATACCTTCCATACAGTAGTTCCTCACACCGCTGGGGGGAGGCGAGCCCAGCTCACTCAGGAAATACAGGTTTACTGGGAAACGGAACAAAATGAAACTGACGGATTCATGATGATATTTAAGGCCAGATATATTTATTGTTCCGATCTTACAAAAAAAACACAGTGAGGTTTTCTGAATTATTGTTCATCAGAATTTCTTCTGAAAGCACCAACAGTCACAGAAACACAGTTTGACTCGTCATCATGGCTCCAAAGAAAGTAGAGAGGTGTTTATTTACAGGCTGTACCGACTCCAAGTCTCTCAGTGTTTTTTGAATGAAGCTTTGAATATCTGTCTTTTATTTAATGAACACAACCCGTCTGTGAAGATGTTTAACAATCTGTACTGAAGCAGAATATTTGGTTAGTTGCATTTGGACTTTATAACGCTCTGGAGTTATTGGAAATGTCTGAAACAAACCACCACTGGAACTACTGACAGTCTAACACGAATACAATCCAAACAAATGGAGCTAAATCGGAGCGGGAGATTTCCAACTTTCTGATAAATTCATCCAACATTGTCCCAGTTTCCCGCGCTCCATCAGGCGTTGGTGTAACTGTTTCTGCCCTGCGTCCTTTGAGCCAGGCACTGTGCTGCAGCCGGGTGGATGTCCATTATAAGAGGAAGATCTCCGTCTCCTCTGGACCGGTTGGACTCCTGCAGGTGAAGATCAGCGCCTGAGTCTCAGGAAGAAGGCGTGGCGGCACTCGATGCTGTCCACTGGGTAATACTTATCGTAGAAGTCCAGGATGTACTCCTCCGCTTTGAAACCAAACTTCTGGTAGAGCAGCATGGCGGCGTTACTGGCCGACACGTGCAGCGTCACGTCTTTCCCCATGCACGTCTGAAAAACACAGGACAACAGATCCCTGATCAGAGCATAGTGGGATCGTCCTTCATATTAAAAAGCCATATTTTCCTCTGAAGATATGCTCTATGAAGCGACCGCTGCTGTCACACTCATATTCTGTGGGATTGGTATGGACATTACAATCATTTCCCGATGTTTAATCGCCCTACATCTGTCTCAGGGTACATTTTAAATTACTTTGACCAGAAACTATGCCCGTAAAGATTTAAATTGACTTCTACTGATATTTACGGTCAAAGTCCGGTAAATACCTGCTCACGGAAACACTGGCTTCCATATTGGTACTTTCCTTCAAATGACTGTCTGAGCTCACCTGGATCAGATGGTAGATCATGAAGGTGGCGATGCCGGCCCTCCTCCACTCCGGATGGACCAACAGGAAGGAGATGTAGGCCTCGTTGTACTTCACATCCGGCACCATGAAACCAAAGGCGATCACCACTTTCTTATACAGGACGACCACGCTGAAGTCCGGGTACTGCAGGCACTCGGACAGGTCCACACCTGGAAGAGAGCCAGAGACACGGTGGGTTTGGACAGATTCGTGGTAGGGGGGTTGTTGGTAAGAAGAGACAGATTCGTGGTAGGGGGGTTGTTGGTAAGAAGAGACAGATTCATGGTAGGGGGGTTTTAGGTTTGTAGGACTTTGTGTACCTGGCCAGTAGCTTTCGTTGCACATGGCGTTCACCGAGGGGATGTGGTTGGGGCGGACGTAGCAGTAGTCGATGGGAGCGTTGGGTTCAGGGACCCAGTTGGGGTTCTTTCTGTGGGGGTAAGCTCTGATCTCTTCCAACAACCTCAGCTTCACCGGACGACTCTCATAATCCCTCCTGAAAAACAAACAGAGAAGTGCTACTATAGAAACACCTACATTACTACAACTAATGAGAGAGCATCGATGCGTGGAAGTAACAAAAAAACCTGAAAGTTCTGAAGACTTTAGAAAAATGTATCTTTTATCGGCACCCCCTTACCATCAACACCTCCAGACTACCTGAAGCCCTGAAAGGTCTCAGGACTAAAGTCTCGACCCGACAAATTCATTTTTCATCGGGACCCCCTTACCATCAAGAGGGTTGGGGTTAGACTTTCTGCCTGACAGCAGGTCTCAGGACTGGAGTCTCTAGTCTCTACCTGACAAAAGCTCTGAGTCTAGGGACTCTAGTCTCCACCCCATGTCAAGTCTTCTCCTGCCCCATCTACCTGCCCAAAGGTTTTAGGACCCTTCACGACAAAGGGTCTACAGACTCTCCTCCCCCTGAAAAGTCTCAGGACTCTAGGTCCTGCACCACAGAAAGACTCGGGCTATAATCTCTACCGGACACTGGTCGGTGGTCTTTCATCGGGACCCCCTTCAAATCAAAAGATACTCAAACTCTCTAAACAACACAAAGTCTATAGCCTTTTTACATGAAAAAAGTGATGCGGACGTTTTCTACCTGATGGAAATCATCAGGACTCACTACCGACTCTTTACCTGATGTAGGGTTTCAGGATGCGGGCGGTGTACGGACTCTTGATGCTCAGGTCCGAGCTGCCTTCTGCTCCCGTCAGACGATGGCAGAATGACACCGGGGTCTGCTGAAGGCCTCTTCTGCTGGAGAGGTTGGTCTGCACACAAACACATTTATAGTCTACAAGGGTTGACAAGGAAATGCCACTGAATAAGACCAGGATGAAGGTTGGAGGTACCTGGAAGCGATCAAGGATCCGCGACTCCTGGCTGTTGGTGCAGTATTTCCCCAGGAGTCCCCCTCGCATCAGGGTCCCCGTGGCGCCGTAGATCCCCCCCCACCAGGCTGAGGGTGGCGCTGACCGCCCGGTCGACGTCCAGCAGGGGGAGCCCTCGCTGCCTCTTGGCCTGGCGCACCAGCAGCTTCCTATGGAGGCGTTTGGCCTGCGGAGTGACGGCTAACGCTAGCGGGCAGGAGGCCAGCCGGCGGAGCAGCATCCTCTCCTCGTACAGACTGAGGGGGGAGAAGCAGGGGGTCTGGGTTTCTTCCTCTGCTTTCTCAGGGTGATTTATCCTCCTCCTCTCGGGGCCTCCGGCGCCAACACAGCCCCCGGCAGAGAGCGACGGCCCCTCCCTGCGTCCCACCGGCCCTTCAAACTCTTCGTCGTGTCCTTCGTCGTCCTCGCTCTCGGCTTCACGTTTGATGTGGGGCGCTGCCGGACGGAGCTTCTTCCGGGCGACGAGGCTGGCGCGAGGAGGAGGGAGGTACTCCATCCCCGGGTCGATCATCCCCTCCGTCTCCATCTCCTCATCGTCTGCAGAGGACAACTTGGATGTTTACTACATGTTCAAAGGTTGAAGGTCAATCCTGTGAGAAACTGAACCAGCAGACGGAACAACACAGTGAGGCTGCCAGACAACATCACCTCTGACCCCAACACGTCCTGAACAGTGAATATAAATATCATATCGGATATACAGGGTCCCAGGGTTTCATAAAGTCAGACTGAAGCTCTCCTTTGTGCACCAGTCAATCCTCAAACAGAGTTTAATCCCAGATCTGATCGGGTCTTGAACATGTTGTTCTTTCAGTCACATGATTTGAAGTTAAACTGTTCCCTTGTAATCGTGTAACCTTGTATCGTGTCTTAACATCTGTCCTTGTTGATGTTGCACACGGAGCTGCTGTGATGCAGGAAATATTTCAGACTTGATCTGAAGACAAAGTGTTATTGTATCATATGAACTACTCACACCTGGAGGATCTGAACTCACCGTGGAACAGGGCCTGCGGGGGCATGGCGTCGGGGATCAGGTCGGCCTCCGACAGCAGGCTGGGTGTCGCTGAGTGCGAGGCCGGCGTCCCCGGGGCGGAGAAATCTGGGGAGGGTGAGGGCGAGGGGCTGGTGAGGGGGGTCCGGTCCGACGAGCTGAGGGAGGAGAAATCAATCACCTCTCCTTTCTCCAGGACCAGGTCCGGTCGGCGCCCGGCGTTCCCCCCCCGGCCTCCGCCCAGTTTGACGGGCGTGGAGGAGGTGCTGCGGTCGGTGTACCCCCCCCCCTCCGCCCGACGCCTCCTTCTGAGCCCGCCGTATGTCTTTGGCCTCCTGCGTCCGGCAGCGCTTCTCCTTCAGCTGGATGGCGTTCTCCACCGGGTTCCTGGCCCCTCGCTTCCTCAGACCCTCCACCGTGATGATGGGTTCCATGACGGGCTTCGAGGCTGCAGGTCAGACAGCTCAGAGTCAGTTACAGACTTTAAAACACCTGATGTGTTCGGGGAAATCTGACAAATGTACTGCTTTCATCAATCATCATGTTGGGAAAACACTGAATGTCCTCTTCCAACATGAGAGTAACATGCTAACAAAGGTATCCCAACTGTAGCTGTGAACATGACAGGATGTGTGATTACCTAGAAGAGCATCAGGACTGTTTGAGGCATATGATAGCTATGTGATTAACATGATGATTCAGCCTCTATGGAGATAGACATATGACAAGCATGCTCATTTCTGACGTGGAGCTAATCTGAAGTAAACATTGAATACTGCTTTCTATTCCTCCATCTTGTGACTGTGTAACTCCCTCTCTTGGATATCAGCATGTGAAGGACACTGTTCAGGAACTAGTTGATGCTCTGTATGTGATGACTCCTTCCATTCTGGAGAGGATCACAGATACATGGATCCTGAGATTGAAGCTCAAGCCGGGGACCAGGGATTATTAACATTTTGAAGTATTCAG